TCATATTTTAACAAATTTATTGAAGAGAAACCACATATTGCAACTATACTGGGCAGATATCCATCAATAAATAAATTTTCATATACAATACTGCTCTAGAATTAAGTCCAGGAAGAGAGCATGTGGTAGAAAGAATAATGCTACTGCCATAATATCTATGTCCTAATACTCAGAACCTGAAAAATGCTACCTTACATTACAAAAAAACGACTCTGCAGATGTTATTAAGCTAAGGAGCTTGAGATGGGAAGATTATCTTAGATTATCTAAAGAGGCCCAATGCAATAAATAACATGGACTCCCTAGAAAGGAAGGCAAGATGTTCAGAGTCAAAAAAAGAAATTTAATGATGGAAATAGAAATTAGAGTAAGCTCTTTGAAAATGGAGGAAGAGGCCATGAGCCAAAGAATGCAGGTGGCTTCTAGAGGTTGGGGGAAAAAAGCAAGAAAATGAATTTTCCCCTAGAGCCTCCAGAAGGAATGCAGCCTCCTGTTGCCATGACTTTAGGACTCATGACTTTCAGAACTGTACAATACTAAGTTTGCTTTGGTTTAAGACCTTATGTTTTTAGTAATTTGTTACATTAGCAACAGAAAACTAATACACATGACAATTGGTATTCCTATTCCTCTCTTAATGAACATTACTTATCTCCAGTTCTTTTTGTTATAAATAAAATGGCAATAAGAGTTTTTAATCTGCAGAAGCATATACTAGATTATGAAAAATGAAACACAAGAGAAAGCCAGGGATTTCAGGCCAACAGGGATATGTGCAGTTTATGTTGATGATTTGCTTTCAGTAAAACACAATGAAAATGCCTGATTTGTTGCATTTAAAATGCTTATATCATGATCAATTTCTAGCTCACAATAAGGTTAGAGAGCTAATTATATGTTTGTGTGTGAACTTGAGGGGGTGAGTAGGCCTCGTGTGGAAATAAAAATTAAGATGGCTACTGTGTGATCAAGAGAAAGGGAAAAACTTCTTTGTGAACCTCACAAATCAAATGTGACAGGGAGCAGTTTTTTTCACAGACACGAGTCCCTCAGTTTTTAATCTTCATTTGAAGAGTGCTGTTGGGAAAGAATGTGCCTTCAAGACCCCAACAATTTTCAGTCCTGGCACTTCAGTGGAATTGCTGTCTGTTTCAAGAGAATTATTGCTTACTGATCATGGCCTGGCAAACAATCACTTATAGATTAATGCCTATACAGATCCTCAGCACCAATCTAAATTTGTTCAAAACAATTTGTGTAACTGCAATAGCCAATGCAGAATTGTTCAGAACAAATTATTTCTCTTTACCCAATTATTTAAATTTTTCCCTTTAAAAATCTCCTCCTTCCCCTTGACAGAAAGAAAACTCATTAGGATTCTAATTAAATCTGTGTCTCCTGATTTGAAAATCTGAATCAAAATGGTCTCTGCTTTTATTTTCACATCATTTATGTTTTCTTGGTTCACACTGGTCATTGCAGGTACTTCATTTTTTTTTTTTTTTTTTGAGATGAATGGAAAGTCACTGGAGAGGTCTGAGGGAAAGAGTGACATAATCTAAGCTAAATACTGCTCTTCTGTTGAAGATAAATAGGAACAGGCTGAGACACAGTTAGGAGGGTGTTGCAATAATCCAAGCATCCAAGTGAGAAACAATGGTGGCTTGGCCAAGGGTGGTAGTAGATATAGTGCGATGTGATCAGATAGGTTAAGTAGAGCTGACATGTTTGCTGAAAGATTGAATGTGGGAGTGAGAAGCAGGAAGCCCAAGCTGATTCCAAGATTTCTGATTTGAGAAATTTAAAGGACAGAAGTACCATAAGTTCTGACARGAATGATGGTGGAAGGAACAGTTTTAGGGTTCAGGGGAAGATCAAAGGCTAATTTTGGTCATGTTACATTTAAGATGATATTTAGTTTCAGTCCAGTAATGAACTGAGTATGCATGTCTGAAATTTAGGAAAGAAAATAATCAGGAGATGTAAATTTTGATCTTATAGCCATTTTGGAGGAGATCACATAAAGAATAAAAGCAGACAGAGAACAAATGTGAAGAATGAGTCAAGGGGTACACAAAGATTTAGATTTCAAGGAGACAAGAAGAAACCAGAAAATGAGACCATAGGCCAAAAGATAGGAAAAAAACACAGAGAGAATCACATCCAATTAAATAAAATGTTTGAAGGAAAGAATCACAAAATCAAATAAATAGCCCTGATTGGTCAAATAAACTGAAGTCAGGGAACTGACTATGATGGTCTGGATATCAAGTGTCCGGAAAAGCTTCTGTGTTAATTCAAAAATATTCAGAGGTGAAATGATTAGATTATGAGAGATGTAACCTAATCAGTCCTTTCAAGTTTGAATGAACTAACTGGGTGGAAACTGTAGGCAGGTGGGACATGGCTAGAGGATGTGGGTCACTGATGGGCTGGACGGGTTCATCTTCCCTGTGTCCCCTTCCATTCTCTCTCTCTCTGCTTCCTTCCTTTCACAAGGTAAGCAGCTTTACTTTAACACCTATTTCCACCATGACATTCTACTTCACCTTAGCCCAGAATAATGCAGTTGGTCAACCATGAATTAAACCTGTGAAACCATAAGCCCCAAATTAACTTTACTTCCTCTAAGTTGTTCTTGTTAGGTATTTTTGTCACAGTGATGAAAAGGTAACATTTGACTACTGCATTTTAAAGTGTTTTATTATTAGTTATTTTAATCAAACCAGTTTGAGAGAGATGTAAAATGCTCTGATTTCATTGGCTTCAAAAGAGAGTGGGAAATACATAAGTTTTGATATCAGATTTGAACAACTGTTTCTAGTTTTTTTTTGGGGGGAGGGAAATACTGAACAGAGCCAAGTGTGAGTTTTTAAAAGATTGAAGATATAGCATGTGTGTATRTGTGTTGATGGAAAAATTCATCAAAAAAGGACAATTCATGATGARAACTGCTAGGGAAACATCCTTAAAAAAGGGAGAAGGCTGGAATCTAGGGCACAAGGGGAGTGGGATGCATTACAYACATGGGAACATGCYGCAGTCYGGCTGGGCACAATTCAGGAGACACTTGTCAAAAGAAACGAACTTCATTTTTAAAACCASGTATGCAAAACCACACAGCTCTTCAGGAAAACCTTCAGAGCCCAACTGCCACCACCGGCTTCCCACAAGCCTCTCAACCTCCCCCACTCCTCCTGCTCTTGAGTCCGATTGGCTGGGTGGAGTGGGCAGAGCCAAAAAAGTCCCCCAATGAGCAGCTCCCTGGTCTGAAAGGGCGGGGGAAACAACCCAATGAGCATCACTGCAGAGGAGCCAATCAGTTGGCAGCTAGAAGTTTGCTGGGCCGCTGTTAGCCAATCATCAGCTGGCAGCTGGAAGTTTGCTGGCAGCTCGAATTTTGCTGGGGTCCCTTGGCTGTGGCTCTCAACAGGAACAAATGTAGGTTAGGTGAGTAGATGTAGTGAAAACTTGCAGAAACTCCTTACAGTTGCTTGATTTTTTAGTGAAGAAATGCTATCAACTGAAAATGGGGATGGAGTAGGAAGTGTAAGGAGGTTTGAGGAGAAAATGCATGACACTGTTATTTAAGAGGATGGTTGAAAAAAATGCCTTAGAAATATCCAAGGATTTCAGCAATACTTAGAGCTCATGCCAGTGGACATGAATTTAATTTGAAACAGGACACAGGAATATGTATGTGGTCTCCTTAATCCATTATTAGTCAGAAAGCCTTCTTAGGCAGGGTTGAGATTTGTCGGGGGAGTATGAGAAAATGAGTGAATGACTAGAGAGTTGGGGAGAAATGAGASGGAGCATAATGACATACAACCGACTGCCAGAGGGAAGAGAAGGCACAAGGTGGGACTGGGGCATCAGAGGGACAGAGGTATGGGAGCCACAGAAAAGAGAGAGGGCAGTAATCCTAGTGGTAACTAAGAATTGTTGTAGTTGGGATTCTGAAGAAAGAAAGTTCAAATGCTAGAGATGAGGTTGAATAATGTTTGCATTGAGAATATAGAAGAATAAAATATTTGTAACAATAAGGATTAGCTTATGACCACAGGCATGAGTGGCTTATATAGGGGGTAAGAAAAGATCACTGGCAGAGAGGTGGTCTTGGAAATGAGAGACAAGATAGTGGAAGGATCATCTGTGTGGATATTTGGAACATAATAATTATTATACCAGTACTGTTAGAGGTCATTAGAATCATGTTGGTTCTTAAAGGGTGGACCTCATACCAACTGTATCAGCGCCTCCTGAATATTTGGTAGAAATACAAATAATTGAGTTACGCTCACATGTAGTGAATCAGAAAATCTGGACTGGGGGGACTATGCAATGTTTTAACAAGCYCCCTTGGTGGTTCTGACGCAGATGTAACTTTGAGAACTACTTTTACAGTAGTGCAGAAGATATAAACTCTAGATTCTTGAAGAAATAAATTAGTATTTAAACTGTAACTGAAAATTATTGCAAAGCTCAATGGGAGGGTTCCTAAAATGAAAGGGAGCAGCATTTGTACAGAAAAACTAGAAACATGAAAAGAGATAAAGCAAGATCAAACAAAATTATGGAAAGGTGAAAACTGTTAACTGTTCGTTTTAGATGACCAGGCCTTGCTAGGACGGGATTGGTTCTTAAGGAATCCTGATAAAAACACCACTTTTTTTTTTTCTCCATTCATCTACTTTTTAGTCCATTGGTACTAGGTTCAGTTTTAGAGGAAAAGGTTGAAGAACAAGTGTAGCTGCCCTGGCATGTCAATTAATCTCTTCCTAATTTCTCATCTTTTTTAGGGAACCCACAAGAAGCCGTTTGGATGCAGAAGCAATTCCAGCAAGCTCTGCACTTTATTGTCTTTAGGGAGCACCCGGGACCCGCCCCCGTGGGCGTTTCCCACCTAACCGCCGGTGCTTCCGGCGGCGGAGCGCGCGTGACTGACGTCATTGTGGAGCGCCGTGGGCTCTCAGTTGGCGGCGGATTCAAACGGCCCAACGCAGTCTCCRGGACCCRGGCAGCGTTAGAGCGTTGGAGTTCTCCTTACTTCCTCAGTATTGGTTAGCTTGAGCAAACCTCAAGAGGACCTCGGCAGCTGAGGCGGCCGGTGCCCGAGCGGGAGAATGGCGCTTTCGACCAGGGTCTCCCAGAGGAAGCAGATCAAGCGGAAGGCTCCCCGAGGCTTTCTCAAGCGCGTCTTCAAACAACGGAAGCCTCACCTTCGTCTGGAGTCGCGTGGAGATTTACTGGTGAGAGTTCATCCTTTCTCAGCTGGGAATGGGGCCGGGGGAAGTAAGGGAAAATGGCCTCAGCCATCATTGCTTGCTCCAGGCCGGTGTTTCAGGCATTTCCAGCATTAACGAGGCAGCTTTGCCGCTGCCGGCACGTCGGTTCTTACTCCTGACGCCTGGCTATACTGGCATTCTCCGGAATATGGATATCTGGAACTTCTTAAAGGAACGCTGTCAGGAACATCAGCTCAAGGAGAAAACTATCCTTTGTCGATGTTTAGGAGTACCATTTGGCATTGTGATTTGCTTMCTTGAGAAGACTATGAATGATATGCCCTTGAAATCGTTTGAAATTCAGAATTGGTCATATTTTTTTGTGTAATTATTGTGAGAAGCATTTTTAAGCTCCTTCCCTCTTCTCTGCCTTCTTTGCTCCCTCATTTTTTAAACGTTAATCAAACTCATTGTCCTATTTCCTCTATAGTAGGCTGCTTACTAAAAAACTCTGATCCCAAAGGGCACCTAACTGTGAGTTCATTTTTCTAGACAATTAATATAATGTTTGTTAGTTCAATTTTTACGCCAGCCCATTAAAGCCTGTTTAACTGACCTATATTACCTGAAGCATCATGTTTTCCTAATAAGTAGCCTCAAACAAATCACTGTATGATATTTCTGTCTTGAAGTAAATTCAGTTTCTGTGTTGAATACTTGGAATACATATTCCTCTAGCAGAGTGAACACTATTCCTCCAGGCTTAAACACTAGGAAGCACTTCCTGAGGCTTGTCMTAAGGACTTTTTTTGAGTAAAGGAGCCATCATAAGTGGACATTTAATTTCCAGAAGGTCAAGGTACAGAATTCTGGATAACAAAGTAGTCTTTAGCATGCACTATTCCACCTGTTTTTTAATTTAATTTTTTTTCCAACCTCCCCTTTTCTCTCTAGCCTCTCAAAATTCTCCACTTATTTTCCATCTGTTGCCTTCTTTAAGGGAGTCTGTTTTTTTCTAAACTATTGTAACATTGTCTCCACTTTTCTCTAGTTTGGTCTTCAAAGCCTTTGGCAACCTTTCCTCCTGTTTTAGTCAGCTTTTTTTTTTTTTTTTTTTTTTTTGTGTTGTGACTAAAAGACTTGACCAGAACAATTTTAGGAGAGGAAAAGTTGGCTCCATTCCTTGGGGATCTAGGTGAGGCTGAATATCATAGAAGTGTGTGGAGTAGGGAAGCAGCCCACATGATGATCATCAAGCAGAGAGACACTCTAGTTTCCAGATGGAAAATATATACCCCATAGACACTTTCCTAATGGCCTGCTGCCTCTAGCCACACCCCACCCATCTTCAATCTCCAGTCTATCAGGAGATTTGGTTCAGACTTTGGTAACACAATCATTTCTTCTCCAAACCTTCTTGCATTGTCTCATGTGATCTTTTGGGGAACATCTGACATTCAAATCATAACACCCTGCTGGAAAAGTACTACTTCTAATATCTTGTGCCCTCATTTTTGTTCCTTTTTAATATTCTATAAGAAAAGGCAGTACATGCTGTTGTGTTCTCTCTCTCCCCTTTGGTGGTAGTAGAAATGGTACAAATGGGCTGAATTAAGATGAAATTGACTTTCAGTACAATTTTAGGTGGTTTATTCTGGATTTTTTTACAGGGACTTTGGAATGTGGGGGAAAAATGTACCTCTTCAAGGACATTCAGGAATCTACCAGCTGGTGCAGATGGTTTGGAGAAATTTCTCAAGTAGTCAGCTTCTTCTCAATGTCCACTCTTTTCTGCCCCAGAGTAACTGTGGACAGATGGCTCCATGGGGGGGTGGGATATAGTGGCATTGAAGAGAAAGGGGACTGGATATTCCAAGCCTAGGCAGTGGTGGGGAAAAGAAAAGTCTTGTGGCCACTAGCTATTCTCAGGTGGTATGCATGTTTTCTGTGGTGCTCATTAAACAGTTCTCCTTCTCTGTATTGTATATGGCATGCATCAACCTGCTTTCTTCGTTTATGTGTCTCTGCTTACCATTGACACTTCATAATCTTACCCAGCAGGTGTCCCACATTAGCTATGAAATGTTATACAATTAAAACAGTCTGTTTTGATCTCTTTTCTGAATATGAGCATCAATTAAGAGTATATATTATACAGTTTAGCTACTGGCATGATTAATACTGTTCTTTAGAAGTTTCATATGCTGATGTTGGCTCCTAGTGTAATATGCAGTTCCTGAGAGGAAAAAAACATATCTATCACCCTTTATTTTTTAAAAACAAAACTGTCTATTTTTGTGTGCTTATTAACATGATATTTATTTATTTATTTATTTTACACATACTTCTTCTGCCTGAAGATGTCTTTACCCTTCATTTGGCAAACTGTAATACTTTTAAACTCTAATTCAAATGCTACTTTTTTAGTGAAACCACCTTAACCTCCTTAAATGGACTCAAATTTAGCTTCCTTTTTATATTTGCTGTCATACATTTGACTGATTTTTTTTCATGGGTTTTATTTACCCACTAATCTGGAAACTTGAAATGAGAACTTTTTGTATTCGTAGTGTTTACAACAATGCCTTGAAAATTCCCAGTGCATTGATAATATTGGAAATACATGGTGCCTATATTTGGATTGATATAGATTTTAGCAATTTCCTSAAAGTTTCTTTTTCTTAACAGTTTTTCTGCACTGGCTTTTTGTTATTTTGTATGTATTATGTGTTACTTGATTGTGTATCCCCAGGATCTGTGTTGATTTAACATCTGTTAAATTTAAATGAATCATTCAGTTTTCTAATGGTTCACTTAATTTTTATATTTATCATAGAATGCCCTGCAAATATTTGGGGCTTATGGTTTATATAAAATTGAAAAGTGCTGGCTGGGTGTGGTGGTACACACCTGTAATCCCAGTGCCTCGGGAGGCTGAGGCACAAGCACAAACCCAGTCTCAGCAAAATCGAGGTGCTAAGCAACTCAGTGAGACCCTATTTTGTACTTTATTTTTTTAAATAAAGTACAAAATAGGGCTGAGATGTGGCTCAGTGATCATTTGCCCCTGAGTTCAATCCCTGGTAGCCCCCGACCCCACCAAAAAAAAATATATATATTGAAAAGTGCTACGATAAAGGGGGAAAGAAATCAGGCTGACCCAGGCTTTTGGTCAATTGAGACTGTAAAGAAATGGAAATATTTTCATAAGTTGTCTTTTGATTTATCATTACAGCAAGCTAATTTTTTCAAAGTAAATTAATGATGTAAAAGTTTGTCGTTTTAAAATTTGGATACCTAACTAAATTCCTTGAAACTAGTTTTTGTTCTGACTATTTAAAAAATTAAGCTGTAGTTCATTTCAGTGACTCATTTGAATTAACTGTTTGATTTCACGGATATAGGTTGCTTTAATTTTTTTTTTCTTTTGTGTGTGTGTGTGTGTGTGTGTGAGAGAGAGAGAGAGAGAGAGAGAGAGAAAGAGAGAGAGAGAGAGAGTTCTAAAAAGGAATGCTGTATGTTTAGCTCGTGGAAGTGAAGAGGAAAAGGAAAGTACATGCCATCAAGGATACTAGCATGATCTCTATATGGTTTAGTTGGTTTTCTTTTTTTTCCTTAAAGTTTCTTTTCTTTTTCTCCTTATTTGGGGATATATGGAGGGATTTTTTGGTCGTGTAAGAATAATTTGCTACTTACCTTGTATTGGGAAGTGGACTGAAGGTCACTTGGGAAACAACATTGATAAGGACAGGAGTAGTTCTTGCACTTATAGTATATTGGAGAAGAAAGTTAAGTGTGAAATTAATGTATAATATAGTATGTGTGGTGATAGGAAGTAAGGATGAAATGATTGATCTGTATAATCTTCTGTATTACAGAAGTTGGGCTTTCAGGGCAGTCTACCTGCCAAAAGAATTTTTGGAGGTAACAGTTCATTGGATTTCTAAAAGAACTTCAGAAGATTTAGTGTAAAACTGAGAGCTGAGACAAATCAGAGGTGAAACTGGAAAGGCCAATTCAAGTAGAGTGGAGTGTTAAGGGATATAGAATTTACCCTGAGGGCATCTGGAAGCTATTTATTTTTAAAAGTGGAAAATAAGATTAACAGATGAAATTGTGCTGTATTATGGAGGTGTGTGTTTGTTTTTTCCCTGAATATTGAACCCAGGGCTTTATACATACTATTTAAATGCTGTACCACGGAGCTATATCCCAAGCTCTGTGGAGTATTTTTGCTATAAAAGGAGATGGAATATCATTRGAAGTTTAAAACAAATTAAATTTCATGGTAAAATGTAAAGAGTTAGAATTGGAGTGTTTTGCCTCAGGGTATTTTGAAAATCCAGGAAGACAATGTGTCAAGTACAAGAAAAATATTATCTCCCATAGGTTCTTCATCTTATTAAATTTAAATTTCTAAACTCTTTTCTTCATATACCACTGGAATACTCTTAAACACCTAATAACAATTAAGAGGTGTAACATTATCTAATTAACATTTAGTGAACTCAGAGGAAGTATTTGTGCGCTGTACACAAGATGAACATTAAGTATTGTATATGAATTGTTCTAACTGCAGAGATTGTGTATTATGATGTAAATAACAATAGAAGTTATATGTTAAATATACTATCTAGACTACAAATTAGTACAACCACTCTGGAAAGCAGCATGGAGATTCCTCACAAAACTGGGAATGGAACCATCWTTTGACCCAGCTGTCCCACTCCTGGGTTTATACAGAAAGGGCTTAAAAATAGCATCCTACAGTGATGTAGCCACATCATTGTTTATAGCAGCACAATTTAGCACAATAGCCAAACTATGTAACCAACCTAGATGCACTTCAACAGATGAATGGAAAAAGAAATTGTGGCATATATATGCAATGGAATATTACTCGGCCATAAAGAATAATGACTTTATGACATTTTCTGGTAAATGGATGGATCTGGAGTTTATCATGCTAAGTGAAATAAGCTAATCCCCCMAAACCAAAGGTTAAATGTTTTTGCTGATATGTGGAAGCTAAGCCACAAGGGTTGGGGTTCGGAGGAGAATAGAAGTTTAGTGGTTTTGACAAGGGGAATGAAGGGGGAAGGTAAGGGGGATAGGAATAGGAAAGACAATGGGATAAATCTGCTCTAAATTTCCTATGTACATATATGAGTATACCACAGTTAATCTCAACATCATATATATTCACAAGACTGGGATTCTAATAGAATATAGTCCATGTTTGTATAAATATATCAAAATATATTGTCATGTATAACTAAAAAGAAAAACAAAATAAAAAGGATACTAACTGGATCCAAGTTGCTAATGCCCTCAGGCACCTTGCAGAAGCAAAGAATGGGAAAGATGTGAACAGTAATATAAAGGAGCATTACATATGATCCTAGAGGGAGGATTGAGATAGGACTTCAGTGCACCCTTTATTCTCTCTTGCTTGAGCTATATATATTTTACCAGTTTTCAAGGTGTGTGCATACAGATTGAGTAGCACTTTTTTGGTTTTGGATCTCTATTTTGAGTAAAATTAGTAATGTTAAAGAGCATATTCAGATAGTGAGATTTTATATATATATATATACACACACATATATATTTTATATATACAATTTCTAATGTAAGCATTTATATATGTGTATATATACATATATATGGGACATATATAAGAACATGACATAAATCTGATGATATATGTGTTTTGCTTATATGTAAATCTTGTTTCTGTAAGAATATATAAGAAACTGGCTACCATGGTTGGTTAAGGATGATGTGAAAGAGTGACTTATTTTTGACAGTCTATGCTCTTATATTTTTTATTTTGTACTGTTATTTGGAAATAATTACAGACTCACAAGAAGGTGCAAAAATGGTACAGAGTTCCCATGCATCCTTTACCCAACTTTCTACAATTTCTTTACACAATTAGAACCCTTTAAGCTTTTGAATTTTGTACTGTTTATATTATCAAATAGTTTTTAAAAAGGAGGTTTAAATATTATTAATTGTAGGTATGATTATTTTATGGAATTCAAGATAAGTAGGTTGACTTTGGCATGAAATTTTGTACTTCAACATTCTTTAGAAATTTTAGTTATATATTTTTAAATAAATTTTTCTTATTAACTATCTGGCTAAAATATCTTCTTAGATGTCTCATAGTGAATTAAGAGTTTTGATTTGATATTTTCTGGAAATTTAAATATATTACAAGTTTAAGTTTATTTGAAATCAGGAGTAGGACTCTAAGTTTTGTTATATAGTGATGCTTTTCATAGATGTTGTCTATGGCCTTTGGTCTACCTTGTTTCTTGTATTACAATGACTGCCTCTATGGATGAAATCTAAGATTGAGTTATATTAAACTGAATTCTATTTAGCTTTGTAGTTACTTAACTATTAGTAGCAAATAATATAATAAATTTTGACCAGAAACTTTATATAACCTTGAAATCTCTCAGAAATTTCTTTGTAGTGATTTCAATTTTCCCTATTTTATTTTCCAGCTTTGTTTTGAGATTTGAATGACTTATGAATGAAACCTCTTACAGAAAAGATTGTATTTTTAAGTCATTTCGGACTATTATTTCAAACACATTAGTGTTTTAGCTTAAAAATTGATTTGGATTTTCTCTTTTAAAGGTTCATTTGAACTGTTTACTCTTTGTTCATCGATTAGCAGAAGAGTCCAGGGCAAATGCTTGTGAGAATAAATGTGGAGTCATTAACAAGGATCATGTACTGGCTGCAGCAAAGGTAAAATCGAATTTCTTATTCTTGAGTTAGAATTAACTTAAAAAATACCACCTGAGTCATTACCTCTGCCTGATTAAGGTACCTTTTTCAGCTTTGTTTTTTGAGTTGTTATTTGACTTTTCATATTGATGGATTTTTCATACTCGCACACACGTACACATGTACATAATATGTATATTATGGATTTCTGATGGCAAGTTTAATGGCCACCATTTTATCACTAAATGGGAGAAGTGAATGTTTGTTTGATTGGTAATCTGTGGGCAAACAAACTTTATAACCTTGAAATTTGTCGAAACTTTCTCATTTTAAATTTCCTGAATTATTTCCTAGCTTTGTTTTGAGATTTGATTGATTTACAAATTAAATCTCTTACAATCAGAGAAGATTGCATTTTATTGGTATAACTATATAATGTTAGAATATGATGCCTAGGACAGAATTTCCCAGATATGTTCCTGAGAACCTTCTTTCCAAAAGATGTTCATAGATGCCCCACCTCATAAGCTTCTATGTTCCGAAAAGTGAATATACCATACCTCCTTTATTAGTCACAGTGTTGTTTATATGTAGAGCTTTTCTATAAGAATCTGCAAGAAACTGGTCACTGTAATTGATGGGTTGGTGTAGAAGAGAGAATTAGTTTTGACAGATTACCTTTTTGTTGACTTTCAAAAGATTTTTATTTTGAAATAGTTGTAGACTAACAATGTGCAAAAACAGTTTAGTGCTCCATGTACCCTTTACCCATTTCCCACAAATGCCAACATCTTATATAACTATAGTTCTATAAAGTTATGAAAGTTTATGAGAAATGTACCAATATGAAACTTGCTGAACTCTGTTCAACTTGCATTTTATAAATTTATTTGAGTACATATAAATATTTAGCATTTTGTAARTTCATTTGAGTACATGACGCTCCTCTCTTCTGCTGTCTGTATAAGTAGAATTGCTGGTCTAGATTGTAGACCTATTTGAGGGCCTCTGTGGAAGCCTTGGAGTGTGCATGATGTGTCAGTTTTTAAAGAGGCTTTTTATGGGGCTGGGGATRTGGCTCAAGCAGTAGTGCCCTCGCCTGGCATGTGCGGGGCACTGGATTTGATTCTCAGCACCACATAAAAATAAAGATGTTGTGTCCACTGAAAACTAAAAAAATAAATATTAAAAAAAATCTCTCAGAAAAAAAGAGGCTTTTTATGTTCTCTTGCTATTACAAACATTCCACTATTAAGAGTCACAATAAACTTTTCCCCTCTGAAAGGAAAGTAAGAACTCAGAGCTTAATGATGTGCATGTTTAAACTTAGGTTTGTTTTTATTAATAAACTATATAAGTGTACCTAGCCAAAACAGTATCCAAGTTCTTTTTTTTTCTTTTTTCTTCTTTTTTTTTGTTTTAAGTTGGGAGACCAGTTAAGATCTTATTTTGTCTTATTTCTGTCACAGTGAAGTGTTTTGAAAATTGTCTACTTAATAGGCTGTTCAATAGAAGATGATCGGTCTTGATCTCCAACTGATATAATTCTAGCCCAAATGTGAGAAATTTTACATGTAGAGGATTTGTGCTACTTTATACTTGTGAAATACCTGATTTGTAATAGCTTTTTGAGTTTTAGAGCATTCTCTATATCCTTCTATCACCAATTTCTAAAAACTTCAAGTTTGAGAACATTRATCTGTATCCTTTTACAAGACAATTGAAGATATTAACAGCTAGAGGTAATTATTAAGACCAAGTTTTGAGGACGTAAACATGTTTTACATTCAATGAGAGAAGTAGACTATTTAGAGGAATTTAAGATCATTATAAGGCAAAAATATTCCCTAATTACCTTCTGAACTGGCTTTTAAAAATGAGAAAAAGACTTGTATATTGCTCACAAAGGGCTATGAGGAATTATGTTTTGTTTTCTGTAGGTATAATATGAATTTTCATTTTTTTCCCTTCTACAGGTAATTCTAAAGAAGAGCAGAGGTTAAAAGTCAAGGAACGTGTTCTTGAAAMTTATATGATATGCTGTTTTAGGTGGTAACAAGTCATTAACATGTTTTTTATTTTGGATTTATTCTGTGGGTTATTAAAATATTGGCTAGATGAGGAATGTCTCTATTTTTTTGTTGGCATTGAAATATCTCAAACACAAAGGACTATTTTACATTTTAAAAAAATCTATTTTAGGAGAACTCTAGTTCTTTTTACTTGTTTTGTTCTTATAAATGTTTTAAATATCAAACATGAAATCTGACTGTTTTAAATGGCTTGAAGAGATGTACTTTATACAATTAAGTTTATATATTTAGATTTAACCACAGCTGTGCAACAAATTTAATTTCTACAGAAGGACAATATGGAATCAGATCTAGGTACATTTTAAATGTGTTTTTCCCCCCAGTGCTTTCACAAAGCAATACAATCTACTTTTTTGTTATGTCAATAGTAACAATATAATTATCTGAAAGATTGTAAACATCACTTGGGTTTTTTCAAAACACATCTCCTTCTCCAAACCAAAAAACAGGAATTCTGGGTCAAATTGAGTTATTTTCTTCAAATTGTGTGGATTTAGTAGGGGGGATATTTTCTCCCCTAAAATCATTTAGAAGTTTATTGCATATATCCAATAGTGGTTGTTATTATTATTATTATTTAACTTTTTGAGCTYATTATAGATTCCAACTTGAAGCTACAAAGGTAGTACAAAGAGGACCCATGTATTCTATACTCAGTTTTCCCAATGGTTATGTCTTACATACTTACAGTATATCACAAACAGGAATTTTTTTTACAAGTAGTGTGTTTATAGTTCTACACCATTTTATCATGTGTAGATTCATATAACTACTAMCATAATCAATATATAGAACTATGTCGTTACCACAAAATCTTCCTGATGTTGTTCTTTTATAGTTACACCTGGCCCACCATGTCTTCCACCCTGGCAAACATTCCTAACTCCTGGCAAGTACTAACTGTTCTCTATCYCTGCAATTTTGTAGTTTTGAGAGTGTCATATACATGAAATTACATAAGAGATGATCTTTGGAGAGTTTTTTTTTTTTTAAACTCAGTATAGTGATTCATTCAAGTTGTCACATTTTGGTAGTTCCTCTGTGTTCCCAAGTGATTTTTTCATGGTGTGAGTTTATCACAATTTAACTGTTTACTTATTGATCGGTATTCTGTCCCCCCACCTCAGGTTTTGGGCTTTTAAAAATAAAATTGTTATGAACAATTGTATAGTTTTTATACATGTATCAATTTTCATGTCTCTGGGATAAATGCCTGGCAATTTGATTGCTGGGTCAAATGGTAAATATATGTTTAACTTTTAGAAAAGAAATCACCAAACTATTTAGAATGGCTGTATCATTTTATATTTCTATTAATAGTATATAGAAGATCACTGTCTTTACTCATAAACATTTACTGTTAATTTTTTTAATTTTAGTTATTCTTACAGTTTTAATTTGCAGTTTTGTAATGGCTTATACTCGTTTTAATTGTGCTGCCGAAACAAAGTAACAGCTTATAAACAACAGATTTACTTCTCAGTTCTCATTGTTGGAAGTCTGAGATCAGTGTGTCACCATGCTTAAATTAACACTTGTATTCTGGTTTTTTTAGAGTTTTGAAATATTTTGAAAAGTTCTCAAAAAAGTTGCTTCTTCATTAGTTTTTGTTATTGTTTAGATGAGATGCCCCCCACTGGCCAAAGCTCCTGTTAATGCAGGAATATGCTGAGGTCAAATGTTTAAATTATGAGAGCTGTAAACTGATCAGTCCATCCTAGTGTCAATGGACTGTTAACTGGGTGGAAGAAGTGTGTGTGTGGATGCTTTGAAAGGGTTGTTCTTGCTGTGGCCCCTTCTTCCCCCACTACCTCTCTCTCTCTTTCCCCGCTTCCTGATCCTGCCATGAGCTGGGTAGCTTTCTCCCACACAACTCTTACCCCATGATGTGCTATCTCTCCTTGGGCCCAGATCAGTGTAATCAGTTCTCTGTGGACTGAGATCTCTGAAACCATGAACCCCAAATAAACTTCTCCTACAAGTTTTTCTTGTTGAGTATTTTGTTCACAATGACAAAAAAAAAAAAAGTTGAATAAAAGAGTTTTGTTTAATGATGGTATATATTAAGCAAAAAATTTTACTTTGACATTGGAACTAAGACATCCTGTTAGGAAATTGCTACTCTTGGGATGTACTTATAAAATAATTTCCCAGAAAGTGACATTGGGATRATGGTGGACTAGGAGGTCTCAGTGCTCCTGTGTTCCCCATAAAATAAAACATAACAAGCAATATTGTTGAAATTATCTTTGGAAAAACTTCATTGTATAATGAGGAACTTTCAGCAACTCCTAGAAAAAAAAAGGAAGGCAAAAATAAATATTATAGAAGATCTTATGTATGTTCTAACATCCACTAACCCAGCATAACTTGTCACCAGAAGAATCTCTTCTACATGACCTCTCTCTGCAAGGCAAAACAATAGCGGGAAGATCTGGCAGCACTTGTCATTGCAGTGAACATCTGCCACTTTTACCACCAAGGACTTTGAAGTCTGCCAATGATGATCCCAGCTATTGCACCTGCTCACAATACACACTGCTGTGCAACTTTGCCCTCAACCCCTTTAGGAWGAGCCATTGATGTGCCTGCCACCCAAGGGCCTGACTTGCTGTGCTTCTGTCTCCATGCAGTTGTGCGTATATTCTGGAGCTGAGGTTGCAACCTGCATACTTATACTCAGAACCCTAGCTCTGAGGCCATTTTGTGGAAGGCTGTATCTCTGATACTGATCCCACTGCTACAGAAAGCATGCCTGTGTCCCAGTGTCCTAGTCAATGCACACACCCTTTGCAGTTTACTTAAAATACCTGATATAACATTGTGTAAATGGCTATGCTGGATTGTTTAGGGAGTAAGGTTAAGAAAAAAATTCACATGTTCAGTACATGTGCAATTTTTTAAGAAAATATTTTCAATCTTTCAGGTTGAATTCACAGTTGCAGAACCTGTGGATACATTGGGCTGACTATAATCATGTCAAATGTAAATGGATTAGATCCAGTCAATCAACATAGACTGAGGATTAAAAACAAAATAAGTTGGTGATATATTGGCTACAAGATACTCTCTTTAAAGACACATAAGCTGAAAGGAAATGAATGGAAAACATACTTAAGTGATAACCAAAGGAAAGCAGAAATGTCTGTACATAGGCAAAGTATTGTTTTAAGTCTAAAGTTCTAGGCACCACAAAAGTTGATAGAGTATCATAAAAGGGCCAGTTCAACCGAAAGATATGATAGTGATATGTGTGAGCCTAACATTGGAGAAYTTAAAGCTGATATTGACAGATGTGACATAATTAACAGTAATAAAATAGTAGTTTGGGACTTCAGTGTTTTACTTCCAGCAAGAGATAACATCTAGACAAAAATTATTAAATGAACAAAACTGTAGGCCAAATGGTCCYAACAGACATATATAAAAATTTCCACTTAACAGTAGAATTCAAATTCTCAAATGCTAATGGAACATTTTCCAGGATGGACCACATATCACAGAATAAGTCTTAACAAATCTAAGGAGATTTAAATCATTCCAAGAATCTTTGCTGACCACATTGGAATGAAATTGAAAACATCAGTAATACTGGGAAATTAACAAATATTTGGAAACTTAACCGCACTCTTGAAAACTATTTTTTTTAAACTTTTTGAAAAAAGATCAACAAACAGGCTAAGGGAATAAAATAATTAGAATGGAAGAGGAGACATTACAACTGATGCCTCAGAAGTAAGAAGAAGAATTGTCAAGGACTATTTTGAACAATTATGTGCCAATTACTGGATAACTAGAAAAGTGGATAAATTCCTAGAAACATACAACCTATCAAGAGTGAATCACGAAGTGGAAAATCTGAACACCAATAACAAATAAGAAAAATTAGTAATCAGAAATCTAATAAGAAAAACTCAGTACCAGATAACTTCAAGGGTGAATTCTACCAGAATTTCAAAATCTTTGTTGAACTCTTCCARAAAATAGAAGAGGGAACTCGTTCTATAAGACCAACGTACTTTAATACCAAAACCAGACACAAACATACTGTCCTGATGTACATAGATATAAAATGCTAGCAAACAACACAGTAACGGATCCTAAGCCAACACCAAGTTGGGTTTGAGTTTGGGATGTAAAGATGGTCAACATATGCAAATAACACATCACATTAATGAATGAAAACCACCTGATCATCTTAGATGCAGAAAAGGCATATGGTAAAGTTTAACGTCTATTTAATTAAAACTTCACCAAACAGGTTTGGAAGGAATGTACTTCAATACAATGAAGACGGTATATGAATGCTCCTAGCTAACATTAATGGGGAAAACTGTAGAGCATTGCCTCTAATATCTGGAGAAAGCAGTCTACACTTATCACTTCAGCATAGCCTTAGAGATCTTCTGGAGCAATTGGATAAGAAAAAGAAAAGATACTCAAGTCTGAAAGTAAGCAATAAAAATCTTTGTTTTCAATTCACTTGATCATATTGCAGGATATTTTATATATTCAAAACCTGAATTGTTTAAGGCTTAAGGATCATACGAAAATCAGTCATGTTTCTGTATACAATGAAACAACCCAAGATGAAATTAAGAAAACAATACCATTCACAATAGCAAGTAACAACAAAAACCATAAAGCAAATAAATCTGAACAAAGAAGTGAAAAACTCATACGTGATTATAACATTGATGAAGGAAATTAACAAAAGGATAAATGGAAAGAAATGTTCATGCATTAGAATAGTGTTAGGATGTAATGTTACTCAAAACAATCTACAGATTTAATGATAATCAAAACCATGGCTCAGTGGTAGAACGAATGCCTAGCATGCATGAGGCACTGGGTTCTATCCCCAACACCACATAAAAAAAACGAAACAAAATAAAGATATTTTTTAAAAATTCTAATGACATTCTTTTAGGAGGGGAGGAAAAAAAAACCCTGAAGT